GTATAATAGGCAATACATCAAAATAAGCCTATTTTAAATATTATACATGGTTAACAGTTTGTTGATAGCTAAAATCACTGTAACATCTGGTAGGTCCCTACATAGCTCTTGTAAAGATTTTTTGTTTTAAAATCAGAGTTGTGAATGAGATCATGAATGTTACAAGGGAAAACAAGTTGTGCATGCACTTAGGTACTTGTCACCCTGGAAACAAAATGGTTTTTGCATGATAAGAAATTTTTCTGCCTTACACAGTAGACAATATTTGAAGATTTAGTACAAAAACAGTGACAATACAAGATGCTCCCCAGAACAGAATTAGCATCAAAATAGAATATATCTTAAGAATATACCTTTTAATTTCTCCTAAAGTAAATCACATAGGTTGATTCCTATTATCAATCCTAGCCACAGAATGAATTAGATTAAAATAAGTGTATGGCTGCGTAAAAACACAGAATAAGTTCTTGCTTCCTACTTACCACATTTTAATTTAAGGATTACAAACAAAGTTCATTCTACATTTCTAACAGGTAAGAATGCTACTTTAGAAGGGTGTGCACAAAGAGGCACTGTTTTTGCTGTCATCCTTCTATATACTTGGCACTAATGTAAAAAATACATAACTCCTCCAAACAGAACTGAATAAAAAAGGGGGTTGAGAGCCCAGAATGGTTATTGTATTTTCTTCTTTAGGATAATGTATGACAGTAATTAAGGCCACATCGATATTTCTCAAGGGCTCCCACCCCTCCCCAAATACAGTTGTTGTACTGATTGGCTTTCTGTTTTGGAAGAGGATGTTTAACCTTCAGTGATCTATGTTTAAACTCTTCTAGAGCTCTATGTGCTGTCGAGGATGTGATTCCGCTAATAGCATTTTTCATTTAGATAATTAATTAAAACTAAAATTATCAAGGTTAGCTTTATACACTGCTTAATAACAAATGCAAAACCTATTCAAATGAGTTACATCTAGGAACAAATATTAAATTGCCCTGGATGTTTTAATAACAAAAGTATAAAATATTCTCTGTTGGCAAACAATGCGAGTCAGAATAACATTAAAGCAACCTGCCTTTTCTAACTGAAAAGAACCCCTGCATATACATAGTTCCTGTATACAATACTTTTTTTTTTGTTTTAACTAAAGCTTTATTAAATGAATTGCAATAGCAATGGCCGCCTTTTTATATATACACACATTATATAGGTGCATATATATGTATATATATGAGATACTAATTTATTTAACACAATAGAGGCTTCTGCCATATGATAAAGTTTACTGTACATAAGAAAAAACTTTTAATACTGTACAATCACATAAAGGTCATATGCACTGGTGCAGTGCAAGAGTAGTTTTAACTGTAGTCTTGACTGGCATATTAATGGCTTTTTTGTAATCCTACAAAATTGCATTCTCATATGTGTGGCCTGAATGGTCTTTAAATTGTTTTTTAAACACTGCAGGGGTTGCCTTTGGTCCACAGTTAAAGGACACTCAACAGCAGTGGAGCATTGTATGGATGCAGCAGAAGAATGTGAAAAGACTGAAGTTATTGCAATTATAGTTCTAAAAATAGAGAAACATTACATAAGAGGCCTTTATGTAAAATTAATCCTGCATATACTTTTAGTATACTCAGTGCACATTTCCTATACTTGATGTACAGTATATGAAAAGCAGACTAATAGGATCCTAGTATACTACATTCTGGGGGAACAAGTTGAGTAATGAAAAAAAAAAGTGGAGGGAAATGTATGGGAGGAGAGGGGAGAAGAGAGAGAAAAAAAAATAAGAGACGAGAGAGGAGGGAGAAGGTGGGGAGAAAAAGCTAGAATTGTTACTAATAATCCTGATTTTTTTTTTTTTAAGTTACATCCATGTTAGTCCCACAATATTACAGTTGCTCCTTGCAAAGGGAGTCCTAAAAAAGAAACAGTGAAGAGATTTTTGTCTGATGCTCATATAGAGGTGCCTCGGTCTGGATCATTACCCAGATTGAGCCCCAAGTTAGGAGTTGGTTGATAAGGAATAGATGACATTGTTTTTATAGGACTCCTGAAAAAGCCCCCATTGGGTGCCCTGTGCCTAAAAGGGCCAGTTCGGTGCTCAGGCACGCTGCCAAAAGTGAAACCAGAGGCAGCTTTAGCCGACAGTGTGCGGCTAAGAGTCTGGATCTGCTCTGGGATAAAGGTTGTGGTGGTGATGTGAGTGTTCCTGAAATCACTGATTTGCTCCAGTGCTTGTCGTGTTGGCAAAGTGTCAATGTCCAGAGGGGTCAAGTCAATTGACGAGGTGGAAAACTGTTTATGGGGGCTGTCGTCATCTGTGCACAAGCTATTTACACGTCTATGGAGGTGCTCCAGGTCAATTTCCTTGTCATCCTGGAGATGAAGAAAAAGAAAATAAGGTTCTCATCAGTACTGGCTTCCATGGTTAAAAAAAAAAAAAAAGTAGTTCAGCAAACATGTAATTAACTGAACTTTGGGGTTTTATTCATTTAACAAATATTTATTGAGCACCTAATATGAGCCAGGCACTGTGCTAGTTTCGGGGGATACCAATATGATTCTGAGATAAGGTTCTCTATATAAATATTTTTCTTGCAGTAAAAATTCTAAAATGAGCATACACCACATGCAACTACAAAGATTTGGGAGCAGTAGATGGGTGATTGGCATTCTAGAAGAGACAGGCTCAGGCAAAACTGTACAAATAGAAAGTATGGTTTCGGCAACTCTCTCCCCCACCGCTTTATTTATGCTTCCTCCTTTTACAGGGTGTCTCAGTCTAAGTTAAATTTTTGTTCCTTTCAACCACTTACTCCTAACCTTAGCTTTCCATTCTTGAAGGAAAGTAATGCAATACACTATACCGTACTAAAGTGTTAGTGACTGTTAAAGTGTTATTTCTTGTAGGCCAGAGACATGTGAGATAGTTTAGAAACAGCAACACTCAACACAAGAGAATCAATTTCTAATTGAGGGATTTCACACACTCAAGGAATCTAGTATCTGAATCAGGCAATATTGTGAGGTCAGCAAGATAGTTAGAGACCCCTTCAAGTCAGGACCTGTGAGTGATAGCTTTAGTTTAGGGCCAGCTTTATGCTAAATAACCTCTAAGCCAAAGATGCTTTAAGCTACGCTAATGGCATCTTGGTAAGAAAGCACTTGATAAACAAAAAGAAGTAAGATCTCAGATTGCCGGAGTTGAAACCCCTTCATAAATCCCTTAGGATTTTCCCTGAGAGTGAGTATTACAGCCCTATGTTTAAAAAATAAAACTGGAAGTCTTATTTATAGCCAAGCTCAATAAATTAATGAGGATTTTAAATGTCTATTGATCATAAGAGGAGAAAATATTTGTTCATAGAATCTGATTAGCTGTCACGAGTTAGAATGGAGTATGTATTTTTTTCATTGTGCTGTGGTAGTATTCCTCAGTGAAAAATATTCTGATGTGCGTCACTGTTTTTCCTTCTCCTTTCTCATTTCAAAATCCAATAAAAAATATCCATTAATGCAGTATTATCACTGAGACGTTAGGGGGTTGAGACATATAATTTTATGGTTCCCACAGCAACTGTAATGTAGTCATCCATCAACAGATATAATTATGCAAAAATTTAATATCATATATACTAACTCAAAATATAAGGAGCTTGGGGAGTCCTTAATTTCCAGATTTTTGAGAATATAAAGTCTCAGCCATAATGTTGCATTAATGTGGTCTTTTGCACGAAATCAATGTCAACAGAGATACCAGAAGCTTATTCCACAAAGAAAACACTGCAATAAAACTTGATTTACTTTTAATTCATTCTCCACTAATTTAGAATGTATGATCATTCACACAGGTAGGAAGCTAAGATTCATCTTTGCCAAGCCAAACGTTTCCTTATAAATGGTGCTGATCAATTTTGCATTTAAGGTGGTGGGAAGGAATCCTTAGACTACTTTAGAAAACAGTCTGTTTGGAAGAATACATTAACATGCAAAAATTCATATGCAAATGAGAAGTCATTTTCATTTGTGCATTAAAAGCAGATCCTTTCAGGATTCGCCTTAGGCATCAGTTAGTTAGCCAAGTTCTAGTTATAGAAAGTTTAAAACTTTCTTTGAAACTATCCATCAAATCAAATCATTTAGCAAATTCAGATTGTTTTTCATTTCAGTTTGTGAAGCTTTAGTGAATATGATTATCTAAAAAATGTTCACCCTTTTGGTCTGCTGGAAATAAGATAAATGAATCAAGTAGTTTATTTTAACTTCACATTTCCTCTAACTTATAAATCCCATAATTTATAATGAAAACAAGGCACATGCCACTTTAAAAGAGATATGAGTAATTCTGCAATTATTCTTTCAGATATCCAGAGAAAAATTAATATGGCTCTGGAGTTAAGCTAACTCAAGAATAAAGGAGAAAAATTGAATTCTGGATGATTCCATGGTGTGGATTTGGTAAGCTTGGGGCCACTGAAGAGCCAAACACATACGGTCACTTCTACAGATCTACATGTGTATAGAGGGAAGCAGAGGTAAGGGGAAAATTCTGATCATTTTTACTTGTAATATTGCATATTTCAGGTCCCGTCTTAAAGACACAAGTAATTTACCTATGCGCTGAACAACTCATTGAAATAAAATGGAAAGCCTCTCTGTGAACTGGTCAGAGGAATCATGGCTTTTAAAAATTATTGAATTAAAGTCTGTCCTGGGATTTGGGAGAATTTCAAAGCTCATTATGGCACATGAAGCTGTCAGTCTTTCCAACATTATCGTCTCCTCTTCGCTGATCTGGGATATTTTAAAATGGAGACTGATATTGGTCTTACCAATGTTTCCATTTCACGACTTCATTTTTAATCTTCAAAGACAGAAGAAACGATGACCACCCCAACCCTGCACCCTCATCCCTCTGACCATCCTCCCCCGAAACCCAGCCTGCTTGTCGGCTCGGCTCAGAGCCGGCGCGCTCAATCAAGTACCTCTTTGGACGGCACGCGGGAGCCTTTCCTCTTGTTCCACCACGTCTCCAGCATGGCTATGAAGCAGGACAGGACGATGCCGGCGGCCAGGATGCAAAAAACCCCTGCAAAGCTCTTTATGTCCAGGGCGCCTCCTTTCTGCTTCGTGTCCACTGAGGAGTACAGGTCACACTGGCCATTCTTAGGCCACCACTTGTGCTTCAGGATGTCCATGTCGCCATTCTGCTGGAGCTCCAGGATCCTTGGGGTAAAGAACACAGCCGCCTGTTATTGCAGACACAGTTACTACCTTGGTCCACAGCACATACATTTTCAGTCTCACCTCCAAAGGATGGTGGCTGTCAAGAGGAAATGAATTCATAGATCACCTTGCAGACGGCATGCTAGGAAACTGACATCAGTATCATTGTGATTCCGTAGGCAGCGCTGGACCACAGGGCTTTTCCCTTTCTCCCTTCATCCGTCCCTCCCTGCAGTCTCCAGCCTCCCTCCTTTTCTTCTTCTTTGGTTTCATCCTATAATTCGAAATATCCCCCCCACCCCCCATTCGTGGCGGTGTGTTTTCACAATTACATCTCAGAGGCGCTGTTTTTATGTGGTCTCAAGCTGCTACAGTCCCTCGTGCCTTCCCTCCATACAGAATGAGACTCTGGATCGTGACGCTTTTATGAAGAACGTTTTGCTGCTTAGAGCAAGATGCTGGCATAATGTCGCCTGGCATATGCTACGCACAAAGAAATTCAATTAAGAAGACTTCTATTATTTAACACAGTGTGAGAGGAAGCCTTGAGACAAGTTTGAAGTTGATAAAATACGTTCGTTTTTGGGTTTTTCACACAACTGATCGAATTTCCTTTTTAATGCCAAAGGGGAAGTAATCTTACCTTGGAGAACGAGAAGAAAAGGTGACCAGAGGCTTTCAGAAGTAAATTCAAATAAGAGATACCTTTTTTTCTTCTTCTTTTTCTTCTTTCTCTGCACCCTCCCGCCCCCGCCGAACCTGAGGGTAGCTACAAAGACTGCAGCTTTTTAGAGTGTGATTTTCACAGAGGAATAATTCTCAATGTCAAATACTTCCTGGGCTCTACCTGAGACCTGTCTAGCTCTGACCCTCCTCCAGCTGGGCCCTTTGTCACAGGGTAAGAAGGGTCAGGCCAGGGCTGTGTACCTGTCCGGAGTGTGCACCATCCGTGGGGTCCCTGGAATTTCCTGGCCAAACAGCTCAGTGCTTTTCCCGGGCCCACTAGGCCTCCTCCCAGGGATGTTCTCCCAAGAGCAGATCGGATGGCCACGGGTGCTCCATCGATCGGTCCACAGGGTGGAGTTTGGAGGGAGCATGGACAGAGCTCGATGTGTGAGCTCAGGAGCACACACCTTTGTGTGGGAGACCCTTTGCTGTGCAGGGCAGAGCTGGAGGTGGGAAAAGAAATTTCCAGAAGCCTACTCCCTGTGCCCTTGGGCCAGTGCAGACGTCCCAGCTAGTCACAAATTTGAACATGGCCTCCTAGGGATCAGGATGGTACATTTGTGAAGATAAGATGATAGAACATATTGTTTCTAACGGTGTTTAGCTTAACTTACACTTCTTATATAATTAGACTTAGGATATGTGGACCTGCATTTGTACACTTTCCCCAAGTCTTGGATTATTTGGGGTGAGACTGCTTACAAGTTAAAATAGAAAGAATTAAGTCAATCTGAAAGGAATAAATTACTCACTTTTAGTGATACATTACCTTTTTACATGTTCCATGTTATCACATGGCTAGAATAATGAACAAAATGATAAAGGGGAGAAGATTTTGTGTGTTGGGGGTTGGATGGACATTTAACCTGAGTTAGACAAGACTGGACCAGCCTCAGAGGCAAGGGAGGAGTGTCAGTTTCACATCCCTGTTGCCCCCCATGGATGTCCCCACAGCCTCGGTCCCAGTGCCCCGGGCATGACTCCAGGACTGACACTGCACTGGAACTTAAACCTGTACTTTTCTTCTTGCTTCTTATGGAATTGATCTACCTAATGTTTTGTTGCCTTGGAGTATTGCTCTCAGAGGGCAACTACTTTGATTAATTGGATTTACTAAAATGATTATGAATATTAAGGATTACATGCCACTCGTATTTCAGCCGATATGCTAGACAAAGTTATTTGCATTTGCAGAATTTGCAAAAGTGAACAGGAAACTAGTCCCTAAAAGGCTTCTGCAGAAAAGGGCACTGTGGTCATTAACTTTGAGAAACACTCCCTTGGAAATTTACGAAGCTGTCAGCCCATCAGTGGCTCTAAGGAGACCCGCAGGAAAGAAAACTTATATGGTTTTGTTTGACTCAGAATCTCCCAAATTTATGACCTTCATTCCTCTCCCCTTATTTTTCTCTCCAAGTAACATATCCTAATAGCTCATGGAGCTAGGGCTTGAAGAATAACATACTTGAGAAATAATTCCTTGATCCAAAGAAGCAGATACTTGTGGAACTTCCCAGCACTGTGTTGAGTATCATACAAACATGTGATCATAGCATCAAAGTTACTTGTTTGGCTTCTTCATGAATATTGTTTACATGATGTTGGCATTGCTAATCAATGCACATAAAGTTTCAGTTATGTAAGATGAGTAAGTTCTAAAGATCTCCTGCTCAACATTGTGCCTATAGTTGGCCATACTATATATAATAGTACACTTAAAGATTTATTAATAGGGGTCGAGTACAGTGGCTCACTCCGTAATCATAGCAACTTTGGGAGGCTTGCTTGAGGTGGGAGGGTTGCTCCAGGCCAGGGCACTGGAGACGATGACAACAAAAATTAACAAGCCTGGTGACCCTCACTTGTAGTTTCAGCTACCCAGGAGGGAAGGGAGACTAAGACAGGAGAATCGTTTGAGACTGGAGTTTGAGGTTTCAGTGAGCTGTGATCTGACCACTGCACTCCAGCCTGGGCATTAGAGTGAGACTCTGTCTCTAACAAAAAAAAATGTGTTAATAAGGTAGGGCTATGTTAAGTGTTGTTACCTTGATAATAAAAAAATAATGGCACATCCTTTAGATATTTGCCTACCTAATGCTGTAGGTAGTAAGAGAACCATTGAATACCTTGAAGGAAAAGTTTAATGGTCTTTGAACAAATAATTCTTAAATTTGAGTTTATAAGTACATGTAGTTTCCTTTTATTCTAAGTAGGCATCTGTGAAAATGTAAGAGTTTTCCCTCATAGCACTTATCATCAGGTATAATTGTGGCTACTTGATTAATGTCTGTTCCACTTCTTGAATCACACTCACCACCCTCCACATTGCCTGACACGGAGTGGGTGAGTATTTATTGATAGAATATGCTCAACACAGTTTTTGGTAAGTGAACCCTGCCCTCAGATCCTACTCTTTTTTCTTATCATTGGTGCTATTTTCTCATTTATTCCATTTCCTTCTTATTCATCTATCCATTCAATAATGAATGGATATCCATTCAAATATTTAATGAGTGACTTTATTCCAGACATTTCCTTGGGTATAAAATTTGTTCTAAACCAGAACTGCGCATTCTGCCAGAAAGGCTTGGGCTTCGTCCAATGCCCATTTCATGTCCCTTCATCTGTCGTTCATTCGGGAACTGGTGACTGGCTGCTCTTTCTCCTCAGTGATACCTGGGACTCCCGTGTTTCATTCACTTCCTCGGTCCCCTTATTTTCTCCAAACCTGGAGAATATTTTGACTTTAAAAATAAGGATTGACGTATATAGAAAATACTTCACTCATTTCAATTCTAATAGGAGTTATAGGTCTTAACTCAAAATAATTTGTTTAATCACAGAATTTTTAGATTCAGCCAGGTCAGTGACAGGCATTCACTGAGGGGAAAGAGGGAAGGGAAAAGAGAAAGATGGCTTCAAGTATCGTCATGTCACAAAGACTTATTTGTAGAGTTGATCTCATGGTCATTGCCACAAGACAGCTGAGGTGTTGCAGGGTGACCCCATCTTTGGGGATATACAATAATGGGACCGTAGGATCCCTCAGTAAAACTCTGACTGGTCCAAAATAGATCCCAGGAGTGGATTCTGGGCTGGCCTGAGCTAGAATTATTGGAAGGGAATGAAAGTGTTCTCTAAGCCCAGAGTTCTGTCATAATATCTATTTCATTATAAAATTATTCATTATGAAATTTAATACTCCTGGAAATTCCATCAGAAAGGTATCACCACACCTTCCTTTTTATTATTTCAGGATTAGTAAAGCTAGGTTAGTAAAATGTAATGCACTGCCTTAAAGACTGACAGGATAAATCCTTAGAATAAATGTTCTCTTTTCAAATGTTATCAAAGCACTGGCTCTTTTAAATGAAACTTAGAAACACAACTAAAGGAGAATTTTACCTTTTAATTATAAGCAACAATGATGTGTGTGTGTATATATATAATAATGTAAGAATCTAGTTTCAAAATTCTTAATAGGTGCCAAGAAAACATTTGGGTTTAAGAAATAATATTTGTTATGTGTACAATTTCCACATGATGGCAGTCTTTGCCCATAGAGAGCAAACAGTTACTGTGGTTATAGCTAACCTATGGATCTGAAATGCGTGAAATATAGAATTTTTATTGCTGCAAATACTTAAACTACTAGAACAACGTTAGCTATTAGACTGTGATGAATAATCGATGGCTAAAACCTTTTCTTGGAGTGTATTCAGAAGAATTTCTGCTATTTTTACCCCAAGGTGATGACAATACTTAATTCTGAAGGATACTGTGGTAAAAATTAATGAGACAACATATAAAAAGCATCTTGCTCATTGCTTGGCATGAAGAAGGCTACCACACCTCCAAAACTGGAATGATTATTGTCAGCATGTGTGACTACTGATCCTTCTTTGGACCTGTTCTGGTACATTCTTCCTAATGGAGAGTTATATGTCCACATGAATCAGTGAATAATTGATTCACTGACAAGAACATCTCATTTCCTTCTTTTGTCTAAAAGTATTAAACATTTGTGATCTCACTGAACAGAAAAATTTTAGAAGTCTATAAAACCTAACTGCAGTTTGAAGATGGTTAATAGATTAATCCTGTATGCATTGAATTCTTTATCGATATAAATGAGCAAACTTCAGAGGAAGGAAGTAGGGAATAATCAAAAGATTCTTCTTTCATATGCAGATAAAAATATCCAAGAAGTTTAGTCATTCATTTTGAAAAGCTTTTTACTTATTTTGAATATAATAGCTCCATTTGTGTTTAAGACTTATACTAATTGTTGATCACTTACCATCTTTAATCACTACTCTAGGAAGTGATTTTCAAATTAATTTATTTGTAACAAAACAGGTTGCTGAAAGTGTGACGCAAATTTCTAATCCCACACAGGTAACTTTGATTTTTGTCTTTGAATACTATAGCCTCTATAGTTTCCTTTCAAATTTTATTGAAATCATGGCCCTTAGGTAAATTCTTTCTGAGCCAACTGTAAACAAGTTACTGGTTATCCAAGAAAAATGACATCTGCCTTTTTAGTCATTTCTGTAAGGAAAAAATATAGGGATAATCAGGGATTTTTTTTTCTTTTTCTGTTTTATTTTAGTAAGTACAGAAATTCCTTTTTCAGGCCATGTCTGTAAAAATTCTTGTGACTCTTTTTCTGATCAGATTTCCCCCCATTTTATAGATGAGCAGACTGAGTTATATAGAATAATAATTCTCTACATCTTGGACATTCAACACGCAATCCCACTGCCGTAGAGATGAAGCTACTTTTTCAGTGACTCACACAGACACTAAATGGTGGAGTTGGGCCTAGAACTCAGCTCTGTCTTCCAGCTCCTTTCTCCCCACGACCTCACACAGCCTCTTGCATCCAACTATTCAGGGAAAAGCTCTTTTAGTTTCAGAGATTTGTTAGACCCTGAGTAAGATTGTCATCACTACATTTCCTCTAAACCAAACAATGTAATTATAATTATAGTGTGATTGCAAATTTATTCATACCACAATTTGGGTGTGCAAAGAGAATGTAGCTTTTCTCTATAACTTAATTGATCTTCCTCAGGAGGACTGTGCCCACGGAGCAGTGCGAACAAAACTAAATTTAGCTCAGTATGATTTAAAATTTAATCTGATCTAATAATTTCACAAGTCTCTAGCTTTAGTTCAATCTGCTCCAGAGAGTTCCTCAGTCCTTCCAGTTCCCTTCGTCTTCCTTTGCTCTCTTTCCAAGATGGCCCCAGGATTTATGGGGCACAGCACTCAACCGCCATGGTGGGGTTCAGAGGAAAGGCAGCGCTGTTCTCTAGGTGGTCCTCCAGTTGCCTTTGGCAGTTCTCCTTTGATGTGGGATGGGCCTGGGTTTGGTCTTTAGAAATTAATTGGTGACTGCTGCTCAAGTTTGCAGAGGCTGTAAGAGTTCCAGTTGGCCAAGGGAGGGCGTGTGGGCTCCTCCCTGCTGACTCGGCCTCCTTTGGCCTCCACCATTTTCCTCATCCAGCCCTTGGGAATTTCAGTTGCCCCTCAGACACTAGTATGCTGACACCTTGTTATTCAGCGTGGAGGGTCCCAAGGCAGGTGTAGGTGCTGTGAGTCAGCATCCACTCCCCAGGGGAGCAAGCGGGGCCTGGGAATGAAGACTGAACCTTTGTTTTTTTCTGACATGCAGCTCTGGCTTCTCAACCATCTCAAGTCTTCTCTGTTGCTACAGAGCCTCGAGTGACCTGGGGACTCCCCTCAGAGACCCCAGTGGGAAGGGAAGCCTTGGGCCCTCTCCCCTTGGGGTGTCTTTCCATCCTTTAAGCCCACTCTACTCGCCCTCCTCCCACCTCTATTAAGAACCTCTGGCTGGAAGAAGTGACGCTTCCTTTTCTCTCTCAAATGTCCTTCTTACCTCCTAGGTCTTCAAGCTGCTTGGCCTGCCACAGTGAAAGAGCATTCTCACTACATAATATAGAAACCCTGAAATGAGACCTCTCTGGCATTTCTTCAATTTGGAAGTACTGAGGCAACTTGCAGCTAGGAATTGGTGAGGATGAAATACACCATTTTATTTATTTATTATTTTTTCCCCAAAATACACCATTTTATTTATTTATTCATTATTTTTCCCCAAAATACATCATTTTAATATTTCAAAAATATGTTATACGTACATGCTTGTGAGTCTTATGTAATCAAAATTTAAAAAGATATTTAGGATAGAATCCTGTTACTCAATATTATTTAATGTCTGTTATCACTGAGAAAAAAAACCTGGGAATATCTGAAAAAAAATTTTTTTTAATACACTGTATGGATCTATTTTGGCCCAGAATACCTACATTATTAAATTAATTTATTCATTTTCTATGTTTTCACAAATTTTTTCTCTCCATGGTTACTGAGAAAGTATTAATAATAAATAGCATGCAGATGGTTTTCAGAAAAACTTCAACTCATTAAGTTTTTCATGCATTCATTATTTCTTTCATTCTAGTCTTGGACAATGTAGGAAAACTTGGACTGAAGCAAAAGCACTTATCAAAGATTAAGATTTAAGCAAGTAAATATAGTGGTGCTTTCATTGGCATACTTAATATTACAATTTGATCACCAGAGAGTTTTAACAACAAATTCTATAAACTTCCTATGAATCAGGCATCAATCAATTATTTCTCTTAAGTAAAATCTCTTAGTGGTCAGTTAAATGCGACAAGTATTTACTGATAATGGCTAATACCTCAGTAATACCCAGTAGCCTAAGGGATACTATTGGAAGCTACTTCTACTGTTTACATTGAACGTTTAGCTAGTTCTTGAGGCTAATTGATCCAGTGTCAGTTGCTGAAGTCTAATCCCCTAAAATTGCCTAAAATCATATAGGTTAATAACATCTCATGGTATTCCCAATAAGCTCATGAATGTCATCTTTTAGACTAGAGGTCAGCAAAAATTTTTTTTTTTTTTTTTTTGAGACAGAGTCTTGCTTTGTTGCCCAGGCTAGAGTGAGTGCCGTGGCGTCAGTCTACCTCGTAGCAACCTCAAACTCCTGGGCTTGAGTTTACAAGCAATCCTCCTGCTTCAGCCTCCCGAGTAGCTGGAACTACAGGCATGCGCCACCATGCGTGGCTAATTTTTTCTATGTATTTTTAGTCGGCCGATTAATTTCTTTCTATTTATAGTAGAGACGGGGTCTCGCTCTTGCTCAGGCTGGTTTTGAACTCCTGACCTCGAGTAATCCACCCGCCTCAGCCTCCCAGAGTGCTAGGATTACAGGTGTGAGCCACCGTGCCCAGCCTCAGCAAACTTTTTTTAAGGGCCAGATAGCCAATATTTTAGACTTTGGGGGCCATATGGTCTTTGTCACAGCTACTCAACTCTGCATTTGTAGTGTGAAAGCAGCCACAGGCAGCATGTCAACAAAGGGCTTTATTTATAAAAACAGGCCAGGAGCCAGATTTGGCCTGCTGGCTATAGTTGCTGACCTATTTTGGAACCCTCACAGCAAATAACTCTAGGAAGTCAACAAGTTTTCATTTCACTGATAAAGATATCAAAGGTCAGAGGGCTTCCATGACCTAGCCCAAATCACATCTTTAGACAGTATCCGAGTCTGTTTTAGAACCAGAGATTGTGATTCTTTTTCCAGTTCTCTTTCACCTGTGTTAATGTATATGCATTAATATGTAGTATGCCTATTATTATGTGTCTTTAAATAAGTACCAAGTGATCACATGTTGATTTCACATTTGACCAAGTCAAGAAGGAATTTCACATACACACTGTATATTAACAATGGCAGCATGATCCTCCAAGCAGATTTTGAATTTCTTTGGTTTTCTGATTATCCTGTAACAGACATCTGAACATTTGTTGTGAGATTGGGGCAGCCCATGTTCCAAAAGAGTGACTGCTTTACTTATTCCAGATCAGGTAGAATTTGTGATCTGAGGCCTGCGTTTGCTGGACCATTTTCTGGGCAATGGCAGCTTTAGCTTGAAATCAAGAGGATAAGAGCAGATAGTGCATTCCCCAAACAGAAATTCCAGGGAAGCCATTATGATTTACTAAACATGGGTAGGACAATTGACTGAGGCAGAAAATGTGGTGTCTCTTTTAATCAAAAGATATAAAAATGGTTTTTAATTATGTGTGATTAGAAGTACTATAAATTAATTAGAAGTTTTTCAGGGTTGATGAAGAATGACTACACAGGCTTAACGAGAAAGACAGCGTGTTCATACTGAAGGATGAGATCATGTTTAACTCCTGCCTAGGGAGGTGAAGTGGCCCGCACAGCTGCCCACTGCAGGGATGATTCCATGGGGCTGGATTTAATTACAAACTCAGTTATTGTTGAAGGCTGCTGTCTATCAGAGACCTGTATAAAACGGGAAGTTTCCTGTGTTGCTTCAAACCTGCTATCTCACTTTCAAATTTGGAAAAGATAATTTGATAAAATATGTAATTGGTCAGATCTGTTTTTTTTAATTCAGAAAACAATGTCTACCTCCTTATATAGTAACTAATGTCACTAAGTAACCAAGCAACCTAGTAACTAAGGCATCCATTTTTCTGAGTATGGAAAAATAACTGTAAACTTTATCCAAAACATTTATTTCCAAAAAAAAAAAAATAGCAATAACAAATGCATGCATAATGCTGCAGATTATAAAGCACTTATCAAAAACATTGCTTATTGTTTGATTTACTTCTTAAAATAACCTTGTGAGGAGGGAATTATATTGATTGATTGATCGATCGCTTCACTACCCCTTTCCCCTTATTTTTATAAAAGGCTTTTTAATAAGGCTGATGTTACCAGGTCCTCCTTTCACAGCAGAGGCAAAGAAAAATTTCCTGAGGCCATACCGCTAGCTTCAGCTTTCAAACTCAGGTCTTCTGCTTTCTGTACTTTTTTTTTTAACACCATAAACATCTTTATTATCCCCAAAGAAAATCTGTATAAATGGAAGCTGCTTCTTTGTCTCCTGCTTCTTTACTAACTGAGAATTTGCTACTCAAGTCCCTTGGCTAATGGGTATTCCATTGTATCCATTTACAAGCATTACACTTTGTGTAACACATCCTGATGTCCCCAGAGAACCGCACGAATATTGCAAGAGTTCATTAATCTCTTTGCCATTAGAGTAAACATCAGATGAATTCATTATCTGGAGGCACTTAGGGGACTTTGCCAATGTTATCAAAGCAAGGAAGTGTGTTCAAAATAAGGAAGTGGTGCTCTTCAACCTTGTCCTTACTCAGTGTAAGCCACCTTATTGAGAAGTTTCCAATCTATTAGTATATTATGCAGGCTTCCGTAGTTATCCAAATGAACTTTCTCCCTAGAGTTTAAACAATCCTCCACAAAAGGCATACTATTTATTAAATAACACTTAACTATTTTGAAAACTGCATTATTTAATCTTTAACATTTAGAACAATTTTTATGTTCAAATATTGATGAGATTTTTATTGGCTCCAAGAGCCATCATAATTTATAGAGATGTTATTTGGTTGAAGATGATCCTTAAAGTTGAAATACATGGCGCCTGTTCAAATTGATCTCTCTAGGTTAGAGTCATCTCCTTCAGCCAGAAGTCTTGTACTGCCTAAGGAGACAAAATCAGCCCTGTTCACAGAGAAGCAATTGCTTGAAAAATCAAATTAGGAACATGATGGATCTCAAGACTTTGGTGACTAGTGAACTTTAATTATTATATATTTTATGTGTTTATGCTGGCAGTAAAAGTCAAGCACTCATTATAGAAATGGCAGACATGATCTTTCATAAAATGAGTGCTGGGCGGCAAATGAATAGATAATCAGGATAATGAAAACAAGCCAGGAAGATGCTAGAGAGCGGAGAAGACCCAGACAATGGCTCCCACTGAGATAGAGGGCATAATTGCAATTGGAAAGAGAACACTTCTGGTGATCTTTTAAAATGTCAGCTTCATCCTTAAGCTCAGTGTGATATTTGGGTTATAGGGTAAAGGGGAAAAATTCTTTCATTCTGCAGTGAGAAACTGGCAGTGATCATCTCTGTTTAGCGTCACTCTTCACTTTTCTTATGTAGACCTTTCAAATGCAGCATGCTTATGAAACAGTGTCATAAAGTCAAACTTATTTTGCCTAGCATATTGTATATATTTTATGAATATTTTCATATCTCAGTCTGACAACTAAACTTTAAAATAAAGTGAGATCATGAAGTGTGTGCTGTGTGTAAAATAGAAAAAGATTGTGATGTGTATCTTGGGTGCAGCGTTAGACGAGAGAAGATTATGGGGAAGAATACTTTTTGAAGGAACATTCTCCTGAGCATTTGAATATTAAATTTGTAAAAAAATTGAATAGCAATTTGGATATGTGGACGAAATTCATTATCCTGAGAACTACTGTGGTTGGCTTTACTTTCGTAACTGGAGAATTCCTTTATGATACAAATAACATCTCCTAAGTTAGAGGTTGTATACTGAGACACACGTTTAAAAAATTCAGGGCATATTTATATTACAGTTGGTAGATAAATTCAGTGCACTTAATTAAAACTCTCTGCCAAGAGTTAGATTGTGAATACTAGTACAACTTTGGGAAAATAATATTGCTATGTTTTACTTACATTTTCATAGATGTATTATATTTAGCATTATTCAACTCTGATATAGTGTTTTGATTTTTTAGTAAAAATGTTAAGACAATAACATAACATGAACTTTTCTTGAGGAGACTAGAACCACAGGAAAACAATATATCTCTTCATTTTAGACATTTTAGAAAGTGAATTCTACTTGCTTCTTTCCATTATGAATCTGAATATGTTGTAATGTAAAATGGTGCCCATGCAAACTGATCTCTCCAGGGCAGAGCCATCGCTCCACTCCAGGTGGTCACATGCTCTGAGGCAGCAGAAGGGAAGGCACCACCTGAAGGTTACCGGACCTTGGATTTGGAAGGATGGCCAGCTTAGGAGCAACTTTTTGGAATAAGCGTTGTCTTAGGTGAGAAATTAGGAACAAGTAGGACCGGCGAAGGCGTGGACATTGGGAAAAGAGTAGTCTAGGCAGAGCAAACAGCTGTGCAAAGGTCCAGCAGGGAGAAAGGCATTTTGGGGAGGTGAAGGGAGTTCCCTGGGACTGGGGCACCACATGGGAAGGGCCAGACCCACTGGAGAAGCAAGGCCCGTGAGTTATTTAAGGTTGGACTTGACCTTGAGTTTAGTTGTATTTTTCTTTCTCTTCTAGATGCCAGCCACTCTGAGGGCAGATAGTGTGTACTCTTACTTTTGTATTTCTAGCTCCTGGCACATAATATGCCTTAGTAAATAATGAGTGAATAAATGAATGACCAAGGAGACCTTCTTCTTTCGTCCCTGTCTCAGGACTCAAATTCCATTGCCTCTGGAAAAAAATGTCCCTGAGCACTGCCCATTTAGTACGAATCATATGCAGCCTTGTGACGTCTCCACTTTCACTCTGAGTTATTATTTATATTTGACACATCCTTTTCTTCTTGTGCATTTCTTAGATTGCCAACCAAACCATAAACTCCTTGAAGATAGGGATCTTAAAATATGTATTTTGTCCTATTCCCCACACCATAAGCACTGGGACTTGCCATCTGTATTGGGTCACTAAATGTTTCTTAACTTGATATATCATGGATGTTAAAAAAAATAGCACTCAATCTCATGGTGTTATGGACTCAATGTTTATGTCCCTCCAAAATTCATGTGAATTCTCTATTGTGATGGCGTCTGAGATGGGTGCTCTGAGAGGTGATTAGGGTTAAAGTCATGAGGGTGGGGCCTGGTTCAAAGGGATTAGCGCCCTTATAAGAAGAGACACCAGTAAGCTTGCTCCTGCTCTCTCCATGCCAAGACGAGGCCATGTGAGCACACAGCAAGATGGTGGTCTCTACAAGCCAAGAGAAGAGGCCTCAGGATAAAACCTACCTTGCTGGCACCTTGATCTTGGACTTCCCAGAATCCAAAACTGTGAGAAATAGATTTCTGTTGTTTAGGCCACCCAGTATTTTCTTATGGCAGCCCCGGAAGACTACCACACACAGACTGTGAAACATACAGCACCGTGGCAGTGTCACCCTTGCAGAGGTATGGCCGTCACTTTTAGGGTCTACTTTCCTTTTTAGCATTTTCCCAGTTTTGGAATTTCTCTTCTGACTTTCTTCCTCCTTTCTCTTAACCATGGCTGGGATAAAACTCATCTTAGACTCAGAACCTTTAGAATTTATGCTTCTCCCTATTGATATGTAAGATGTTTTTAAAAGCTAGGATAAATACAAACATATTTTTATTTTTAAAATGTCACTTTATAATTTGCAAAACATTTCTCTTTACTATATCTTATTTTTATTTTAAAATGAATAAATGCTCCATTGTATGTATCATTTACCTTAGCAAGCAAAATCTTCCTATATGAGCTTCAATTAATTTAACTCCTGTGATGTAAGAATTCCGTATTTTTGGATATTATAGTCTCATAAAACTTTGCTAATAAAAATTAACTGTAAACAAGAGTATAGGAGAGATATTTAAAACTATTGAAGAAACTGAATTATTTTCAAGTATATCACATGTGACAACTTGATGTGACAAATCTGATCAACCACTTAAAAGTAAACTGATTATAAAGCATCATTTAGCACAAGATCTCCAAAAACTTTATTTTGAATGCTAACAGCTTAGTTTCACTTTAGAAGGTAGGAGCCAATCTTCATTAAAATTATGTCAGACGTTTAACATTTGATTTTAGGCTAATACTAAATACCCGCTCTTTGGGCATATGTTAATAATGATTCCTTAGCAGGAATAAGGATCCCTTAAGTAGGAACATAAATTTTAAATAGAACACCTAGATTCCTTAAGTAGTTTCAGGAATAAGTCTGATCAGTAAGCTTGAACTGCTAGCTATCTTTTTTTTTTTTTTTATGAGGCAGCAAACTGAAGTGCTCTGACATAATGGTTATTTATAAAAAATCACATAATATGGCATAAAGTAGCAGTGAGACTCCTCTAATTCCACGCAGAAAGGATAATTGATGTGTTACTGCCCTACTTCACAATTTAGTTTTCCCATGCATGGCAGATATGCTGGGAATGAGTCTATTCCATCTTCTTAATGAGACTTATCTATTACCTCCGATAATGTATCTATTTTCTTCAACCAGCAGGACGAGCTACTTACGGGAGTGAAGTTTTCAGCAGTTATTAGAAAGAAAATTCCCCAACAGATATAAAGGGAACAGTCTGTCTTTCTGTGCATCTGCGTGGCTGTGCGGCTGTTAGGACAGCGGTGCTGACTCCCGTGGCTCTCATGCAAGCTCCCGAGAGCTGCGTGCTATTTTCCATGATAATGGAAAGAGCTATATGCACGGCGGTGTTTACTCACTTGATGATATTATGGGAAGCTTCAGGAACTCAGAGAAGAGGTTTGATAAAGATCGAGTGCCATTCAGTCCTGATAACAATTGTCAGAGGGACTGAGTGGCTGGTTTCTTTACTCAGAAAGTGGTCTGGTAATGCCGTATATGTGCACGTACAAAATGGAAGCATTTGCAAAGCATACGTTATTCCTCTACTTTACCCCAAACCCGACATAATCGGCCTCTCCAATCTGTTCTAAACCTTGCTGAATTAGAAATAAAAGGAGCCCAGCTAAGTGAGGGTCTGAAATATTGATAAGAGACTTGATGAATAATTGTGGAAGTGCAATTTCCCCATGTTTGAATAGCCGGTTATATTTATCTGCAACTAAATTGCTCAGAATATTCGTAAATTGTGAGGGATTTTTACCTTGTGTGTAAGCAATAGCAGGTACTCCACTCGACCTGTTTCTAGATGAGGAAGAAAGGATAATACCCTCTGATAAAAGTAGCACTGATGTAAACCTCAAGCTATGTAGATCACTGCAAATAATGGGAGTCCATAGACAGCAAATGGGCACGCCACCTTCACAACGGGGGCAATGCAAGAAACAGCTTGACTGTAGATATTACCCTTATTGCCTTGCTCTCCAGGAGAGGCTACATGCTATGAGACTATAGTGAATCCATTTTGAAGTGATTTTTCTATGGTTGTGATGGAAAAAGAGGACTTGGACTCTGATCCATTCCTTCTAGGGAGGCCTGACTTGCAACACACATCAGAGGAAATTAAAATAGTCATGCCCTGCATGACAACATTTCAGTCAATGACAGATCACATGATGGATGATGGTCCTATAAGATTATAATACCACATTTTTGCTGTACCTTTTCTATGTTTAGATACACACACGCTTATCATTGTGTTACAATTGCCTGTGGTATTCACTTTTGTAGCCAGGGTGCAATCTGCTATACCATATAGCCTGTCTGGGTATACAGTAGGCTCTATCATCTAGGCTTATGTAAGTACACTCTATGATGTTCACACAATGGCAAAGTCACCTAACAACACACTTCTCAGAACACATCCTCCCCTTAGGCAATGCGTGACTGTACGAATTGATTCTAAATTCCTTGTTACATTAAGCACCAAGTTACAGCTCAGTGAGTCTTGATGATGGAGCTCTGGAAATCCTCCAGAGTCTTCCGTGTATATGAATTGGTCTGGCTGGGCGTGGTGGCTCACACGTGTCTGTAGTCTCAGCACTCTGAAAGGCTAAGACAGGAGCATTGCTTGAGTCCTGGAGTTTGAGAGCAGACTGGGTAACACAGCGATACCTCCATTTCTACACAAAAATGTTTTTAAAAAATTAGCTGGGTGTGGTAGTTTTGCACCTGTAGTCCCAACTACTTGAGAAGCTGAGGAAAGAGGATCACTTAAGCCCAGGAGTTTGAGGCTGCAGTGAGCTGTGAGCCGGCCACTGCATTCCAGTCCAGTCTGGGTGACAGAGCAAGACCCTGTCTCAAAAAAAAAAAAAATTAAATTAAAAAAAAAAAGGTCTTGGTCTTGGTCTAAGATGCATAAGAAGATAAGCTGGGAAAAACATCTCAGGTAGAATGCAGATGAAAGAGGAGAGTGGATGTTACGACAATGTCACTAATCATAGCCTGAGAGGCTATGATTTGGGCAGAGTTCCTAGGTTTCTAAATAGTATTTTTCCCAACATTTGGATTCCATTTTCTTTCATCTCTGGGCAAAGTCTGCCTGTAGGCACGCAGATGAAAGGTGCAGCAAACAGCGTCCAAGAAGAGCAGATCTACAATCTGATGCCAGAGTCCATCAAGTTTGAGCGTCGCTCTGAGAATCAGTGTTAACTAGTTAGTTTCTCTTCCATTTTCTCCTACCCCCATGCCAGTCTCATCACTTCCACTTATGTAAATCAGCATATGCCCCAAATGGAAAACCAAGGCTATGAAGGCTCAAAAGGCACAACTCAGATGCACTAGAGTTTCAGTGAGCATAAATAGATGGCTGATATGGATTCTCCCCACAAAACTATTTGCAAGCTTGCAGGTAGATGGAAGGCATGCACGTGATAAACGGTTGGGACCAAAGAGAAGATACAGAATAACAGTGAGGGATAGGTAAGGGTGTAGGAAATTTTAAGAAGGGAAATAATTTAAGGACTGATATTTTTGGAAAAGGAGGATGTAGCAGTTAGGAGTATGAGTGCTAGAGTTAGACAAAGTTGGGTGGAATTCTGGTATCATTACTTCCTGAGTATGAAGTGGCAAAGTAACATGACCCTTCTGATCTTTACTTTTTCTAATCCATGGACTAGGATAATATCGATCTTAGATTGTATTGTGTGTATGAATTGATCACCATGATATCTGACATATATTAAGTTCTGAATACCAGTTAGCTATCATTACAATCATTATGAAGACGAATGCGGCACATCCCTGATGATGTACTGGAGTTTATTTTCAATAGGTTTTCAATTTATCTTTTCAGAAATGAACACTGATATAGACAATGGTTAAGTCCAAATCCACAGTGCTGCTTAAGGTCACGTGCCCATCCTGATAGTCTAGCCGAGGAAATAAACAGACTATTAGAATGTGTTGTGGAATGAATGTTTTTGTCTTCCCCCAAATCATACATTGAAGCCCTAATCACCAGTGGGGATGGTATTTGGAGATGGGGCCTTTGAGAGGTCATTAGGTTTAGATGAGCTCTTGAGGGTGGGGCCTATGATGGGATTAGTGCGCTATGAGACGAGTGATCTCTCTCTCTCCTTGCCACGTGAGGATACAGGGATAGAGCAAGAAGGCAGCTGTCTGCAAGGCAGAACCAAATTGGCCAACACCTTGATCTTGGATGTTGTAGCCTCTACAACTGTGAGAAATAGATTTCTGTTGTTTAATCCGCTCAGTCCGCGGTGTTTTGTTACAGCAGCCTGGGCAGACAAAAACAGAGCATGCAGTATTGGGAGTGTGCATGAGAAACAGGCAGCTGGGAAAAGCCTGCGAAAACAGGGAGGTAGTGAGGATGACAGCACGGAGCGTTTAGGAGGACAAGCCAGGGCTAGAGGCCTTCAGAAGACAGTGGGAACAGCCTCAATTTCAGTGTCACTCTTTAGTATGTCCTTAACCATGTTCTCACTAACCTCTCGCCGACCTGGGTTTAGTTTGAGGGACAGGATGTGATCGGGGATGAGGACACTTCCATTTCAGTACAACTGGCTCCGCTCTAGATCTCCTGTCAGGTGGAGACTGAGGATGTCACCGGAGGCCCTGTCATGTACAGCAAATTCACAGCTGCGCAGGAGGCAGCGCAGTAAATCATTGTCCTTCCCGTGAAGGCTGCAATCAATAATGCCACAGGAGCACTCCCCCCCAGAACCAATAACTGCCTGGAACCGTGGGAGACCCATTACAGCACTGCGGATTTGATGTGGAAAAATGAGAGGAATGAAACAAAAGTTCACTCACCAAGAAGGAAAAGACGCAAAAAGCAACACCAACATAAGTTTAATTATAGAGTCTTATTCTCGCCCTAGGGGAATTCATACATTTAGACGCCAGCTACAGATCAACAAGGAGCACGATGGGTAGATTTGTTGTTTTTTAGGAGAATGTGACTCCCAGACTTTTCATGAGATCAAATGCAAAACTATAAAGTTTTATAATGGGCAGAAGAAACAAGGTTCTTAGTCGATACTCAGAATTCACAATACTTGATGATCTGGTTGTTGGTAATATTAAACAATGACTTTTACTGACAGTGGCAGTGCATTTTCATTTATATGAGCTTCTGGGAATATGAAAAGAATGACCCTAGTCGAGGGGTAAATTGGACTTGGAAGTTCCAGTCAGAGATACTCCAGTATAATGGACCCTCAGTTTAATTCACCTCTACTACCCCTGCAACCCATTCCCCAGTGCTTCCAACTTTCTCCACGTTTCCCAAACCCTGGACTGCACTTGGCCCTGTCTCTCTCCTAGCAGAGGATCTTAGCTCTTACTTTACTGAGAAGCTCAAGCCACTGGCTAGAAACTCCCTTATCTCTTTTAAGTGACACCATTCTTTCCATTCTTTCTTCCTTCCATCCTAACTCTTATAAAAAGAGTCTACTCCTGGTGAAGGATAGCTTTTCACAGAAAGCCTTTATCCCCAATTTTATGTGACTATTTTAGGAATTCCATAAAAATGGATGATCATCAGAATCTTCACATTTCCTTGGCTGCAAGTCAGAGATTTTGAATTATTAATTCTCAGTTGGTATCTGTCTGGGAATCTATATATCTGTATCTTTCTATATCTATATATGTATATCTATATATTTTGAGACCGAATCTTGCTTTTTCACCCAGGCTAGAGTGCAGTGACGTCATCATAGCTCACTCCAACCTCAAACTCCTGGGCTCAAGTGATCCTCTTGTCTCAGCCATCTGTGTAGCTGGGACTACAGGTCCATGCCATGACTCCTGGCTAATTTTTACTATTTGTAGTAGAGAAGGGGTCTTGCTGTTGCTCAGGCTGGGAATCTATATGTTAAAAGAGCACTTTCCCAAGGAGATTCTGATAACAAAGTAGCTTTGGGGAAACCACTGATTTCTCCACCCTTTGAAGTTTCCCCAGAAGATTTCTTATAATTTTCTGTTTTGTCCCTTCACCAATGTAATTTATTTTACTTGTTCCAAAGGATTACAAACTCCTAGGCCAGGTAGCAGTGTTTCATGGATCTTCACGTGCTCTGTGTATGTACCATGACAGTCTGCTCATAGGATGCATTCAATCAGCATGCTGAATAATAGGCAAAGCTCAAGAAGGGGAACTATATAATAATGTGTGCTCACCATGGGGCAGTTGGCAGTACTAATAGCTAATATTTTTCACAATTATTAAGCACCTATCTCTTCACCTGCAATGTTCACTCTATAGCGATTCACTTATGTAATTCTCAAAACCATCTTATGGGATAGTTACTCCAGTTTTATCTCCAGTTTTCCATATTTACAAACACAGGCGGCAGGGAACTAAAGCAACTTGTGTGAGGACAAACAGTCCAAGACTTGGGTTTTTGTTTGTTTTGGTTTGGTTTTGGCAGGGAGGAGGAGAAGAAAAAGCCTACACCAAGAAACCATTATGGAGGTTCTTTAAAGAATCATGACTTAGTTCTGTAGAAGGGAAGTGAGGTCACTTTGGCAAAAGTGGTTGCAGGAACTGTTATGGAGGAGGCGGCTGTATGGTCTAAGCCTTTAGTACTGCGGTCCCCAAACCCCAACCCCCCTGGCCATGGACGGATACCAGCTGGTGGCCTGCTAGGAACCGGGCGCACAGTAGGAAGTGAGCAGTGGGCAGGCAAGGGGAGCTTCATCTGCATTAACAACTGCTCCCCATCACTCACATCGCCAGGGGGGCTCTGCCGCCTGTTGGATCGGTGGTGGCATTAGATTCTCCTGGGAGCGGGGGCCCTGCTGTGAACTGCGCATGTGAGAGATCTAGGTTGTGGCTCCTTAGGAGACTCCAATGCCTGATGATCAGGGCAGTGATGCTAGCGCAGATACAGATGATCATTAGCAGAGGGGTCTGACTGCACAATAAATGTAGTGTGCTCGAATCATCCTTAAACCACCTTAAACAAATTGTCTTCCATCTAAACTCTCCCTGGTGCCAAAAACGTTGGGGACCGCTGCTTTGATACTTAAGTTTTTGATACTTAGAAAAAGGGCACATGCACATTTCAGGAGAGGGCACAGTATGAACTGAAGCATGGCAGTAGAACAGTAGCTTCAATTCGCCTCTCGGGTCCCTGTGTCAACTGGAAGAGGCTGAATGCCATTCCCTCTCCCTCCTCTGTGTGCTTGACTGCAAGAGTGAAAAACCAGGAGCGATGTTGGCAAGCCTGCTCTGTGAAACATGGAAACTAATTGTGATCGTTTACCCGGCAGTCACTGAACTTTCATTTCCCCCGGAAAAGGCAACCCAACTCCGCTTCTCTCTCTTTCCTAATCAAAGCCTTATTTTGTAAACAATCATTTCACTGTATCTTGCAACTTTTACAAACTGTCTTTTAATTCAATCTTCTAAAAGCTATTGTATCATAGAGGAAACTAACACATTTTGAACTACACCAGAGAGCCAGTGTAAACTAGCAAAATAAAACAAGACTGAAATGGTGTTTAAAATCTTACCAGACTTTGTCTTCTCTCTCTCTCTCTCTCTCTCTCTCTCTCTCTCACTCACACACACACACATACACACACAATGAAGGAGAAATAAAAGGTAGGCATCCTCATCCCCATCCAATTTATCTAACCTACAAGTAGAATGAAGACAATCAGCAGGGTGAAGGTAGAAGTTTGAGTTGAGGCCAAAC